GACTGTACTATAGACCAGACTGTAGACTGTACTATAGTCCAGACTATTGACTGTGCTATAGTCCAGACTATAGACTGTACTATAGTCCAGACTATAGACTGTTTTATAGTCCAGAATATAGACTGTTTATAGCCCAGACTATAGAATGTTCTATAGCCCAGACTATATAATGTTCTATAGTCTATACTAAAGACTGTTCTATAGTCCAGACTATAGACTGTTCTATAGTCCAGACCATAGACTGTTCTATAGTCCAGACTATAGACTGTTCTATAGTCCAGACTATAGACTGTTCTATAGTTCAGACTATAGACTGTTCTATAGTCCAGACTATAGACTGTTCTATAGTCCAGACTATAGACTGTTCTATAGTCCAGACTATAGACTGTTCTATAGTCCAGACTATAGACTGTTCTATAGTCCAGAATATAGACTGTTCTATAGTCCAGAATATAGACTGTTCCATAGTCCAGATTGTAGACTGTTCCATAGTCCAGACTAAAGACTGTTCTATAGTCCAGACTATACACTGTTCTATAGTCCAGACTATAAACTGTTTTATAGTCCAGACTGTTCTAAAGACTGATTCATAGTCGAGACTATAGACTGATTTATAGTCGAGACTATAGACTGATCCATAGACCAGACTATAGATTGATCGGTAGACAAGACTATAGACTGATCAGACCGTAGACTGTGCTGTAGAATAGAACTTGATGAACGACTAAGGCTATAGATTTCCTCCTTTCTCCTTATTTATAGTTCAGACAATAGGCTAATTTATATTCTACGCAATAGACTAACCTATAGATTATAGACCGATATAATGTTCAGACTATAGTCTAATTTATAAACCTGACTGTAGACCGCTCAATAGTTGAGATTATAGATTGTTCTATAATACATAAAATTATAGTCCAGACTATAGATTAATCTATAGGTCCGACTATTGAATAATCTATAATTCTCTATAATACATAATGTAGATTTAAATAAAGTCTTGACAAGAAAATAATGAAAAAAACTATTAAAATAAATAAATGACCAAATTCAATTGAAATATAATAAAATAAGACGATTTAATAGGTTGGCAACATATTCCTTAATACTCATGATTTTCAACTGAATCTTTAATATCTGCACAAAAAACAACATAAATTGACAGAAACACAACACAAAAAATCAATAGTTAATGTAATCAACGCCAAAGCAAAAGAAAGTAAAAGTAAAACATGAATCAGAGAATGAAAATTTATGTATGGAAAAGTAAACCAGATACGGTAGAACTAAATAGAAAAAAAGCAAAATATTTTGTATAAAACTATATATTTATAAAAAAAATTCACATATTTAAAATTAATTTTAAATATAATTTTATAAATAACCTTGTTCCTCTGTTAATTGGCTCCCTATATTAAAAAACAGTTTAACAAAATGTGTAAATTAATTTCTTTCTAATTAACTAAATTAGTTTTTATTTGTTTATATAAAAATCTATTCATTGTACATGATTTCAACAACAAATAAAAAAGTTCATCGAACTTCAATGAAATTCAAACAAACAACAAAAAATCCATCATAAACAAGTACTTGGTCATAGACGAAAGAAAACAAAAACTAAACACCCAAAAACATAAAGCTAGGGAAAAAAAATCAAAACATTTTAATTTTAATAGACCCAGCAACAACAACAATGACAACAAAAGATTCAAAACAAAATCATAATTTAGTTAATTGTAACACGTGAGTTTCTTGTTTGTGTATTGTATGGTGGTATCTGAGGGTTTAATGATTTTTTTTGTTGTTGTTGTTGTCATTGTTAATTTAAAAATAATGAAAACGAAAACAAACAAAATTATGTTTAATATTAAATTATTTTTATGAACATAAAGTTGATGACTTTTTGTTGATTACCAGCACTTGTATATCAATAAGGCAAATCAAAACTTTTTTTATAAATAGTTGAGGTGGGCATTTACAGCCACCAGCGGCCGATAGAATATTGGTTATCATGAAAGCAAAATCACGTCTGATATATTTAATGACATGTAAACACTGTGTCGATATCTGTTTTTTATAAAATCTTAAGTGGAGTCAATCCTAAACAAAAAGTGGAGTCAATCCTAAAAAAAAAATTTAAAGAATTTTTGTTCTTTCATAACCACTGTACAAACAAAAAAATGTAATAACAAATTAGACATCAATGAAATTCTCCAAAAAAAATCTAGTTTCTTAGAGAAGTTAATTTCTAGGCATAACGTCTGTTAATTATAAACAATGTCAAACATATACTTCAGCACGCACTTCAACACTGACAGTTATTTATTCACACAAAACAAACAAAATCCACAAAGCAATTTGATTTGCGTTGTTGTATTTTCTTAAATATTGGAATAAAATTAATTAGTCAGTATATTTTATCGTTATCAACTAAATGAATATTGAATGAAATGCGTTTCATTACATGGAAATCATCAGCCAAACAATATCTGTCTACGGTTATAACATTAATGTAAAATTCTTTATTTTAATATAAATTACAATTGTTTTTGCTTTAAACGAAATAAATACAAAATACATTTTGTCAAATTTAAAGTATATTCCTGCAGTGGTCAAGGTCATGTATAAAAACAATTTATAAAAAATTAAATGTGATGTTCTTAGAGTTACTTCATGATTGAGCACAGACCTTAAAGTTTAAGTTTGCAAATGTAACTGAGTAGTTTTGAATGACTGCCCAAACTTTCGCATTATAGAATCAGACATAATCGAGACTATAGACTGATCTATACTCTACTCTATAGCAGAGAGTATAGACTTATCTATGGTCGAAAAAATCTGTAGCGAAACTTATACAAGAACCTAGTCGAGACTGTAGACTACCCTATGGTCGATATCATGGACTACTCTATAGTCGAGACTATTGACTACTCTATACTTGAGATTATAGACTACTCTATAGTCGGGACTACAGACCACTCTATAGTCGGGACTACAGATTACTCTATAGTGGGGACTACATACTACTCTATAGTGGGGACTACAGATTTCTTTATAGTGGGGACTATAAACTACTCTATAGTCAGCACTATACACTATAGTCAGGACTATAGACTACTCCACAGTCAGGACTATAGACTACTCCATAGTCAGGACTATAGACTACTTTATAGTCAGGACTATAGTCTATAGTCCCAAATATAGAGTAGTCTATAGTCCGACTATAGAGTAGTCTGTAGTCCCGATTATAGAGTATTCTATAGCCCAGAATATAGAGTAGTCGGGACTATAGACTAATTTATAGTCGGGGCAATAGACTACACTATACTCGGGACTATAACCTACTCTATAGTCGGGAATATAGACTACTCTATATTCGGGACTATATACTACTCTATAGTCGGGACTATAAACTACTCTATAGTCGGGACTATATACTACTCTATAGTCGGGACTATAGACTACACTGTAGTCGGGAATAGAGAATACTCTATAGTCGGGACTATAGACTACTCTATAGTCGGGACTATAGACTACTCTATAGCCGGTACTATAGACTACTCTATAGTCGGGACTATAGACTACTCTATAGTCGGGACTATAGACTACTCTATAGTCGGGACTATAGACTACTCTATAGTCGGGACTGTAGACTACTCTATAGTCCGGACTATAGACTGATCTTTAGTCGGGATTATAGACAAATATATAGACGTTACTATAGACAACCCTATAGTAGGGGCTATAGACTACTCTATAGTCGGGATTATAGACTACACTGTAGTCGGGAATAGAGAATACTCTATAGTCGGGACTATAGACTACTCTATAGTCGGGACTATAGACTACTCTATAGTCGGGACTATAGACTACACTGTAGTCGGGAATAGAGAATACTCTATAGTCGGGACTATAGACTACTCTACAGTCGGGACTATAGACTACTCTACAGTCGGGACTGTAGACTACTCTATAGTCGGGACTGTAGACTACTCTATAGTCGGGACTATAGACTGATCTTTAGTCGGGATTATAGACAAATATATAGACGTTACTATAGACAACTCTATAGTAGGGGCTATAGACTACTCTATAGTCGGGACTATAGACTACACTATAGTGGGGAATAGAGAATACTCTATAGTCGGAACTATAGACTACTCTATAGTCGGGACTATATACTGATCTTTAGTCGGGACTATAGACAACTCTATAGACGGGACTATAGACTTCTCTATAATCGGAAATGCTCTAAAGTCGGGACTATAGTTTACTCTATGGTCTTGACTATGGACTACTCTATATTCTGGACTAAAGACTACTCTATAGTCAGGATTATAGTCTACAGTAGTGACTATAGAAAGACCTATGTATCTATAGTCGGGACTATAGTCTGCAGTCTTGACTAAAAGAGACGTATGTATCTATAGTCGTGACTATAGTCTGCAGTCGTGACTATAAAAATGCGTATTTTATATAGTTGAGACTTTAGAAGGTTTTATAGTTGAGGTTAAAGTCTTATGAAGTCGACGTTATTGATTGTTTTATAATCGATATTAAATTTGTTAGTACCGATTATAATCTGTTCTATAGTATAACCATTCTTTTTTGAATAACTCAAAATTATAATATAAATTATTTGTAATGCCAAAAAGACTTCTAATACTAAGTATTAAATATTCTTAGAAATTAATAACGAAAAATAATATACTTTTTTTTTATAAAAAAGAAAAAAAAATTGTAACTGTTTGATGTTTTAAAACTTAAATCATTTGTGACAATTTAATATAAAAAAAATACAGAGAATATTATAAGAAAACAAGACCTTGTAACGCCTCAAGAAATATTCCCTGTCAAGTATCATTATTATGAACTTGCAGACATATTTAATTTAATATACATAAATAAATACATATAAAAACATAAATAATAAATGTAAATAAAAACAAACAACTACCAGCTTATACAATATATATGAGCAATACAAAATGTGTACATACCTCTGACATTTTACAATTTTCCTTCATGGTTTTCCTCCAGTTACAGTAATTTTTTGTGCTTCAAAATAACTAAAACCGCAACGAGTTGATGCCAAGGATTTTGTGCTTATTTTTTAAAATTTATATTGTTGGTTGTTAGTTTGTTTTTAAAGATTTTTTTTATTTAGGTGTAAATTATCCAAAAAAAAAAAAAGATAAAAAATTCAGCTACTTAAATCACATACAGGAACATAAATGCCGGAAAACACATACAATTTGTTGGGTTTTACTTTCCAAGGAAAATGTTTATCAAAATGTATTATTTAAATAGTATTTAAAGCAATTTTATTTTTGTCTAATTCTAAAGGGATTTTAAGTTAAATTGTTGCTGTACAATAGTTGTAGAATTTAATACATTTATAGTTCGTTTTAGCATTAAATGGCTTTTGTTTAGATTTTTAAATTTTTTTGGAAAATGCATTTTTGTTGCGGTTGTGTGCTGTTTGTTGGATTTAATTATTTACTATTAAAAAGTAAATGTAATTTTAAGGTTGCAAAAGTAACTGTAAAGAGAGAGAAAAATGGACTAATTATTTAAATATTATTTAATATAATAAAATATTTGTTCAATTAACAAAATAATTGAATCAATTAAATTATAAATTCGTAATAATTTGATCAATGTCTAAACTTCAGTATCAACTTTTATCGTTAATAAAAAGTAGTACTAACTAGTTTTATTAATATCTAGCTATTAAAATTTGTATTCACTTTATAATTCCCATTTAGTTAAAATAAAAAAAATAAAAATAACACTTGGCACAGGTAACATTACGATTTTAAAAGTAATTAAAAATGTAATATAAACTTTATATATTAAAATAATTTTTACAATTTAATTTGCATATTTACTAGTTGTTTAAAAATATATATTTTTGCATTAATTATTTAACAAAAATATTTACATATTTTAATTATAACAAATCTACATGTATAAAAATTCACGTTTAAATGATTTTTCAATAATAGTAAAAAAAAGAAAATTACAGACACAGTTATAGACATTGAAACCAACAGAATAAACATATACATAGATATATATAAACCCCAGTTTTGTTTATTGTTTACAGCAGGTCAATAATTTAAAAAATGTTCTTGACCTTTTATCCTTACAGTTTAAATTACGGTTAGTTAGACGTGACATATTGAAGCCTAAAATACACAAATTGCTTTTTTTATAAATTTTGTTTCTATATTTTTGTTGAATGCTGAATTAGTATTGGGATTTTCTACTCGATGACATGATTTAATCAAAAACAATATGTTGCAAAATTGAAAATCTAATAAATGCATTGACAGAGAGCAAAAGTATTTTTGAATTGTGTAGACAATTGTTAGAAGATTTGAAAGTAATTGAATTGATATTGACAAACCGTAGGTGGTGGTTGGTTAATACTTAATCAATAGGAGATATTTAGGAATTAAGTCGGATTGTATGCAAGAAGCCGTTTCATGTGTGTGTGTTGTGGGTGGTAATTGATTGAATTTGAATAAATTGTGAAGACAATGTGACGTCTTGCTATAGTAAATAAACTAATAAAAAAGGACACAAATATTGGAAGTGGTAAAATGTTTCAGTTAAATTTTTAGTTATATTTTTATTCCAAAACCATTCTAAAGTGTCAAATTTTAGTAACTTTTGCCAAGGACTGTTCTGCATAGTCGTGACTATAGACTGTTCTATAGTTGTACTATAGAGTGCTCAATAGTTGAGATTACAGTTAGTACATAGTAAAGACAATAGGTTACTTCAGTTCAGTCTAAAGACAGGTCTACAGTCCAGCCTATAGGCTCCTCTACAGTCCAGGCTATAGGCTCCTCTATAGTCGAGTCTAAAGGCTGCTCTATAGTCTAGACTATAAAATGCTCTATAGTCGAGACTATAGACTGCTTTATAGTCGAGACTATAGGCCGCTCTATAGTCGAGGCTATAAACTGCTCTATAGTCGAGAATATAGATTGCTCAATAGTCGAATCTATAGACTGATATATAGTCTAAACTATAATCAGCTTTATATTCGAAATTATAGTCTGCTCTATAGCCAAGACTATAGACTGCTTTATAGTCGAGACTATAGGTTGCTCTATGGTTTAGACCAACGGTTCCCAAAAGGGGGTCCGCGGACCCCTAGTGGTCCGTAGCAAAATCCTAGGGGGTCCGCGAAGACGAAAGAAAAAAATAATGAATAAAAAATATTCTCTATATGTTAGAAAATATTAAAAATATCTCCAAATTTTTCATAAATAGTAAAATACACAATTTTTATTCAATAATCCCAGATTTGTTGGCGACTTTTTGAATTTTATTGTTTCGGTCGTTTATCAGGATGAAGCTAGGCCCTACAAATTTATCGTTTCACTTTTATAAAGTAAAGTACATATTACGTGATTTGTAATTTTTATAAATGTATATGTATCGAAATAAATGTTTTTATATCAGACGGATAATGATTTGCCTTAGAATTAAATACTGATACTGGTATCCCGGAATATGAAGTTAGGTCACATTTCATAATATTTTTTTAAATTGTAAGCAAAAGTGTTAATCTAGTTAATTTTAAATATAAATATTCCATTCCGACGTGATACACAGATTTTAACTTCATTTTGTTGTCCAATATTATTAAATCAACATCAGAAAATTCATAGCGTTTTGCGTAAATAGTCAAAACCACGCAGTAAAATAATTTGTAGGTATTTTAAAATTCAAATTTAAGATCCAAATTCACAGTACATTCGCAAAGAGTTCAGGTCATATTTTATGTGGGTAACGCATTCCGCAACAACATCGAAGAAGTCTAACTTTCACATATTTTCCCGAAAACTTAGCTTACATACTCAGCTCACTCCTATGCAATCGCAAAAAAATTTAGAAACATGACTCTTTAAGCACATGTCGACAATACTTGTTAAAGAAACCTTTTCTCTACCTTGACGAGAAATGAACATGAAAGCTCTCACGATCATAAAATTAAACATCATGTTAGAAGTCATTCTATAATTAAAACCATGCAATTGAAAACATCTCCGAAATACTAAATATTCTCAATGTACGGGAATATTTCATAGGGTTTATGGACCAGGACTAAGACAATTTTCGGATGAACAATTATTTATAACAATAAGATATCAAAATATGTATGGGGGTCCGTGAAATTAAATAAATTCCTCAAGGGGTCCGCGAAGTAAAAAACGGTGGGAACCGCTGGTTTAGACTATAGACTGCTCTATGGTTTAGACTATAGGCTGCTCCACTATAGAGCAGACTGCAATCTCAACTATAAAGCTTACTATAGTCTAGACTAGCTAGGTTGCTCTATTGTCGAGAAAATAGGTTGCTCTATAGTTGAGACTATAGACTACTCTATAGTTGAGACTATAGGCTACTCTATAGTTGAGGCTATAGACAGCTCTATAGACGAGACTATAGGTTGCTCTATAGTCGAGACTATAGATTGCTCAATAGTCAATAGTCTAAACTATAATCAGCTTTATATTCGAGATTATAGTTTGCTCTACAGTCAAGACTAGAGATTGTCGTTACTATAGGCTGATCTATAGTCGAGACTATAGATTGCTCAATAGTCGAATCTATAGACTGATATATAGAATAAACTATATATTGACTGATATATAGCCAAAACTATGGACTGATCAATAATCGAAACTATAGTAAGCTTTATAGTTCAGATTGCAGTCTGCTCTATAGTGGAGATTAAAGGCTGCTCGAGATTATAGACTACTCTATAGTCTTGACTATAGACTACTCTATAGTCGAGACTTTAGGCTGCTCTATAGTCGAGACCATAGGCTGCTTTATAGGCAAGACTACAGGCTGCTGCTCGAGACTATATGCTGCTATATAGTCGATACTATAGACTGCATTATAGGCTGCTATATAGTCGAGACTATAGACTATTATACAGTCAAGACTATAGGCTGCTCAATAGTCGAGAATATAGCCTGCTCTATAGTCGAGACTATAGATTGCTTAATAGTCGAAACTATAGATTGAATATAGTCTAAATCATAGTAAGCTTTATAGTTAAGATTATAATCTGCTCTATAGTCGAAACTATAGGCTGTTCTATTTTCAAGGCTATCGACTGATCTGTAGTTCAGACTATTGTCGAGATTTTTAACGCATAAAAAGAAAAATTCTTTGTAATCAGAGACTTAATTATTTGACATTTCCATTATCCTAATAGACACTGTTATGAATTTCCTAATAGCAAAGTTAATTGTTAAGAATTACTTAATATTATCTAATAATACTTATTTTAATTTTCCACTTAATAACACACAAGTTCAACTAAATCTAAAATGTGCGCAGTAAAAGTTCGCTATTATTTAATTATTTAATTTGCATAAATATTTATATTTTTATTTAAATATTTCTATTTCTTACTCTAGCAATGTCTGGCAAATGATATATGTATATTTTTTGTAGTTTAAACAGCATCAATACATCAATATAACACTATGTTAATTAAATAACTGACTGGTCCAAAAAATATGTCAACTTGTCAACTATTTACTAAAATATAAACTCTGCCAGCCGAGCAATCAAACGCTGCAGCAGTGCCAGCATCAATATATCAACAGTCACACAATTGATGGAATGTATGAACAATCAATTTATAAATATTCAATAAATTTTATTATTTATTTTTTTTACACTTTTTTTATTTGATTAAAATCATAATAACCACACGACCGACATATGCATTAATGAAATAAAATAAAAATATAAAATGTAAAAAAGAATTAAAACTGAATTTCATAAAATCCGGCTGGAGGAATAAATAAATTAAATGAAGAAAAAATTAAAAAAAAAAAAAAAAATTATCATAACGACAGCAGGTGCTGCTGCTTTAATGTTTGTTAATTATAAATTTAATTGTAAAAATTAATTCTTAATTATTTAAAGAAATTCTTTGAATATTGATGAGGTATCTTATAATTAATGTATAGGAGATCTATTCTTGAAAATTCCGTAATTGGGTTATTTAGATTTTCTGTTATTGATTGACTTAATTTATTAAATCGAGAAATTATAATTTTTTTTATTTTTTCGTGGAGTCTATATTAATTTTTTTAATTAGCACCTTAATTAATAATTTAAAAATATCAAAATGAACACTTCACGATTGTTTGATTTGAAAAATATAAAAAGTCATGATGATTTCTAATATTATGGACAAACATGCATACATTTTGATTTGATGGGGAACAATCTAAAGGAATTTGTTGAATTTTTCACAAATTTTCTTTTATGGAAAAATTTCAATAAATTTATTTTTGTGGGAAATCTGCGTGAAATTTTTTTAGAAAATTTTTACTAACTTTTCTTTTTATATAAAATTTTTGCTAAAATCGAATCTTTTTATCGAAAATTTTCAAATATTTTCTTTTTATAGAAAATTTATAGGAAATTTTCAATAAATTTTCTTTTTTATAGGAAA